CTTCCTTCCTTCCTTCCTTCCTTCCTTCCTTCCTTCCTTCCTTCCTCGCAGATCTGCGTGTTCCCCCCATAGCTAGCAATCCAGAAGAGTCCAGTTGCACCTTTGACACCAAGGTTTATTCAGGTACAAACTCTCCCTCCTCTGTGAGGGCAGATCTGTGGGTCCCCCCCCCATAGCTAGCAATCCAAAAGAGTCCAGTAGCACCTTTAAGACCAAAGTTTATTCAGGTATAGGCTCTCCCTCCGTTTTGACAACAAACAAGGTAAACAGAATTAGAAGCAAAAGGTGGGTGTGGCTAAATCACTGCACTCCTGGTAACATGGGTGTGTGTGGTCTAATATGCTAATGAGCTGTGCTGTTCAGGGTGTGTCCTAATATGCTAATGAGTTTCTGCTGTTGGGTGTGGTCTGTTATGCTAATGAGTTCCTGCTGGGCTTTTTCTACAAAAATAGCCCTGGTCATACGTAGTTAAATTCGGTTGTCATGTAGAGAAACAAGTGATAGTTGAAATATCTGTCATTAGTGCTGCTGAGGATCAGCTCCCGGCCCCAGCAGAAGTCCTGAGTACTGCTGAGGATGACCTCCCGGCTCCGGCAGAAGCTACACCTGACCTCAGTGAAGCTGCAGAGCCTGCTCCGGCAATAGCTGAGGCAGAACAACACACATCAGACAGCCCCCCTGATTCGCCTCCACCGGTGACTTGTTTGCGGGATCAGCACTGACGGGACTTGGCATCCTGGCAGCAAGAGGCACGCCTGCACAGCAGGTGGTCCCTCAGCCCTGAGTTCTAACAGGAGCCGGGACACATGCACTGGCCGCTAATTGACAACAGCCCCAGAAGGATACTTAGCACCTCCCTCTCTGTTGATCCCTTGTGCCAGCAACTAGTCAGCTTGACGACGCTCTGCACCCACCTCGCCCGTGTTCCTGATTCTTGTTTCCTGCTTTGGCTCCTCGACCCTCTCGACTCCGGCTGTGACGACAACGCTCTTGATTCGTGCCCTGGACTCTGGTGTTTTGGCTCCTGACCCCCCTGGACTCTGGCTTAATGACTACGCTTGCAGTTTGCGCTTTGGACTTGGTGTTTTGGTTTCCTGCTCTTTCGGCTTTTGACCTCGGACTGGACCTGGACTATCCCTCTCTCGCCCTGCCTGCACTCCAGCCCGTGACAAAATCAAGGATTAGGTTTGAGTAATAGCTGTCATGATTTGGGGAAGCGATCTGGGACTTGATTAGGAAAACAGGAGGATTAAGCTAGAAGAAATTGAACCAGTGTTCTCTATATGGAAATGGAACTCCTTATCTACCGTGTGTGTGTGTGTTGTGGTCTTTGGAATCTATTCGTATGGTGTGCAGTTTTTTTTTTTGTTTAGTTAGTCTATATAGGCCATTTTGAAACGTACTTTTCAATTAATGTAGCAGATCCTTAAACTAAAGAATTGTCTACTTCTTTGCCCCAGAGGTTGGTTAGGCAAGACCTTTCGTTGACTCTTGGTCTTCCAAGAGTGTGGTAATAAAGTGTCTGTGCATGAGACCACATTGTTTCCACATCCTAGGGAAGTCATACATCCTGCATTAAAAGCAGCTATATGTTGAGTTTCAGTTCCCAGATGGGTAGCTAAACCAATGCTGTGGTCCACATTGCTGAACTTGTTTGCAAGAGGTTTTTCTCTTAATCAGAAATGGGGAGGAAAGAAAGAACCAAGGTGTCCAGGTGAGAGTAATTAGGATCGGTGCCTGCTCTTGTGAAAATAATGTGGAGGTTTCTTTGAGCATGGCTGGCTGGCAGATATACTTGCAAAGACGTATGGGTTTGGGCTTGCCCTAGCAGGTTGGGAGCAAGAAGGGATTACGTGGATGGCTTCCAGTGTGATGACCCAGGAACATCTGCAGCTGCCTACAGTTGGTGGAAAAGAAAATGGAATTGGCCAGACCTATTACAGTATAGCTCATGATATAACTGAACAATTGCTGGCTGTTTAGTTCCAGCATAAGTTTGTGTGGGTATGTGTGAGACAGACTATTCATTGAAATTAATAAAATTAATACAGAACTTTGACTCCTCTTCACCATAAGGAGGATTTCAATGTGTTTATCTTTAATTATGCATGTGCAAATGGGAAAATCAGGTCTTCTGAAAATCCTGAGGGATATATTTTCTGCTTGGTGTAATTTTAATTCTAGTTTAGTTAGTTTGCAGATTTGTATAATTTGTTACTAGCTTCAAGTGATATTCGGGCTTTGCCGGTTGCACTCTTGATCAGCAAACAGAAGTAATATGTTTTCTCATATCACAGTCTGTTGTTGTTACTTTGTTTATTTCAGAGCTTTGTGCATCTCAGCGGGGCATGGCTGGAGATGAAACCCCACCCCCTTTGCCTCCACATCCCAGTGATGAGCTGCTCATGGATTATAATCATAGGTTTGAAGATGTTTATTATTTATGGGTTTTGTTACTGCTGATAGCAATGTTGCTTCTCTGTGATGTGTGGGAAAAAATGTAGGCTTATTTCCTTATCTGTCAATCTGTATATAAGTATACATCCATTTACCTTATCTGTCCTCAAAATATTAGGTGGTCATGCCCTAACCTGGATAGCCCAGGCAAGCCCAGTCTCGTCAGATCTCGGAAGCTAAGCAGGGTTGACTCTGGCAAGTACTTGGATGGGAGACCTCCTTGGAATACCAGAGGCGGGGGCAGGATTTACTCAGCCACCTCTCTGAATATCCTCCAGGCCCCCAGTAGGGGTCAGTTACCAGAGGTCGCCATGACTTCCAGGTGCACACACACTCACATGCGCACACGCGCACATGTACATATTTAAAAACATTAGATGGTCATTATTCCCATTTCAAAGATGGGAACTGAGGCATGGTGATTTCCCCAGAGCCGAACTTAGGGACTATCCTAAGAACTAAAACTCATCTGTCAAGGAACTGATATGGCTCCTGGTGGTGAAAACCAACACTGATGTTTATTTTGAACATTGGTGTAATCTATTTATTTATTATTTATTTATTATTTATTTATTATTTACATTTTTATCCCGCCCTCCCCGTAGGCTTAGGGCGACTTACACGGCACGGCATCTATGCTTCCTTGGGCATTGTATTGCCAATATGCCTACATCTTGTTAAATGACACTTTCACTGAGGATTAAGATAGGAAAGAAGTATGCACTCCCTGGCCTTCCTGTCCTAGAGCCATTTCCCCTTTCCCAGCTTAAGCTCAGTGAGGGACGTGTCGAAACGTCCGCTAGTGCAAATCTGATCCGAGTTGCTGTTTCACTAGAAGTCTTTTTTAAAATAAGTTTTATTTAAATTTTTACAAAGTATATTCATACATATACTTGTAATTACATACATATATCTTGTAGGAGTCTATTACATATTCTTTTCCTTTATCCATTTATAACGTCTTGAGTAAGGATTGAAACTGCTTGAAGAATCTTGATTTAAGTGGGAAATCTGGTTAACCACAAGGGTATTTGAGGAAGTGGCTGGAAGGAGGTTGTGCATGATACCGTGCTCTACCCAAAAAGATGAAAGGCCCTTCATTAAGTTTGTACTGGTATTTGTTGATATTTTGCATTAGAGTGCTGCAGTCATTGGGAGCTGCTGACTTTTTACAACTTTTTAACCAATGTTTGGGCTAGGTAGGGAAATGGAACATGGAATAAAGGACTGGAAGTGAAGCCAAATATCTGGATTGTGGACTGAGAAACCATACAGGCAATTAGTTGCTTTTTCCATGTGGAGAGGGGAGCAAGAGGAGCCTGGGGTGAGACCTTGGTAAAGCCCTCTCTGGGCCTGGCCCATGAGAACACAGAGAGTCAGAAGTGCCTCCATGACTTGCCTTGCTGCGTGCTCTTCTCTCAACACAAAGACATGCCGGGGAGACCCACTTTTACCTTGGGCAGTACTTTAGGAGAGGAGTTCTGAGGGGCTCAAGACAGCAGCTGGCCATGCAAGTGTTCTGTGCTTGCCCCCCGAGTGTGACATGCAGGACAATTCAAAACACAGTCAGAAGTAAGACCCTTTGAGTTCTCAGAGCCTTCTTCCCATACTAGTGCATGTTGGAAAGCAGCCTTATCAAATGGCAGAGGTGTGCCTCCCCACATACAGTAGTCAATGCTCCCTCTAAGCTGTGGAGTCTTGTGAGCAAAAATTCTGCTTTGTGAGCTACTGGCATTAAAGTTGTGAGCAAGCGATTTGGCTAGTGCATAAATTAGTTTGCTCTGGAGCCATCCTTCCTGAGCTGAGACAAAAGTGTGTGAGCCGGAGGCTAAAAAACTGTGAGCTAGCTCACACTAACTTACCTTAGAGGGAACACTGTTGTCATATCTCAGGCTTGCCCAAAAGTTGATCCTGGCTATATGTCCTTCTTGTCGCATCCTCCTTTAGCACAAGATAAAGATACCTGTGAGAAGTAGGTGTATCTATATGTCTTACTTGTATCTAATAGCAGTGGTGCGGGTATGCTGGTGAACCTGCTTGTATGTGTGGGGGAATGGAAGGTAGTGCTGATGACTGCTGGGCAGTGTGGAGGAACAGCTGAAGGATCAACTGTTGAAAGGGGTAAAGTTCCATGTGGAAAGTCTGTGAACTCTTGTTTGAGGTATACAGGCCTGTTCATGACTGTAAAACAGTGCCTTATATTGTGAAGACTAAAACTCATCTCCTCCTATGGAAGATTTCAAGCATTTCTTCCTAGTTTTCCTTCTAGTTGTGTCCGTTGATCGGATATTTATGTACTTTAATTTGCGAATGAGACATATGTAGGTGTAGATCCTGTGTGGATTTCTGTGGGTGCAAAGAGGGGGTTGATTTTTGCCAACCTCCCCCCCCCCCCCCCAAGATTTCTGATTCCCTTCC